ACAATATTATAATTGGCTTGTTCATTTTTTGGGGGGATGGCCAGGAGGAGGGAGGTTATATTAACCAAAGAATCAACTTCAAATGGCCTTATTAATATATTACTAATATATTATATTATTTATTTTTATTATATTTTATTATATTAATACTATATTACTAATAAATTTTTTTATAATTAAATTAAATAAAAATTATATATTAATTATATAATAAATATATATTAATAATAAAGTTAAAATTAACTTAACAAAAATAAAAGAAATATTTTTATTGTATAATTATATAATGTTTAAAATATTTTTATCATATATTAGTTATATTTTAATTTTAGTAATATTTTAACAATATTTTAGTTATATATTAATTATATAATAAACATAATTAGCAAAATTAAAAGTTAGGTTTAGGTCGCAGATAACTCCTATAACCTTTGAGTTAGCAAGGGCTCTGTCTGAGTCTCTAGTCTTAGTATCTTATAGATATAAAGTTCAAATAATGTAATTTCTTTATCTTTATTTGTAAAGAAGTTTAATTGGATTTTAATAAAGATAGCGGCATGGCCTCACCTTTGAAGATTAAAAAAAAAAAAAAAAGCAAAATTAAAAGTTTCTGTAAAGAACCTAATTATAGGAATTCCGGGAATTCTAGGAATCCGCACTACTGATTACCGCAGCAACAACTTTTTGGGAAGACTATCCTGCCTTTATACAAATGCCAGTCTACTGGTCCTGCGCTGCACCGCGTGCTGCGCACTACTTTTATATAAACATAATATAAATTTATAATATTTATGTATACATAAAAATAATTTAATATATATTGGCTATTTCTCAAAAGTGAATACGGTAATCATCGCTCGATGCACTAGGAAAAATGTTCAGAATACTCGAAAACCTTCCTCAACACTCCAATTTAAACTTTAAAATCTAATCTTAGTTTTAATATTTAATTTAAATTTTTTCTTGGAATTTACATATTTCTATAATTTTACATCTTTCTATATAGTATCTATAAATATATATAAATAACTGTGTGAAGCTACATTGTATTTATAAGGTTTGCATAAGATTCAATAAAAATTCTACATAACCATGCATAAAATTTTAAATAACCTATGTAAAAATGTACTTTCTAATGTAAAATCATAATAATTTATGAGAATCTTATTGTTTAAATTTACGACAAGAATTTGAATAAACATAAGGGAGCGTTTCTATTAAACATTTTTATAAAAAATTTAGAATTTCGTGCCTGATTTTGCCAATTTATTCTTATCCATTTTATTGACGACGATGTCATCGCAAAAGTTTTGCCAACGGTCGAACGAAGTAACAACTTTGTTGTTCCATAAAAGTTCTTCCACTAGTTGAATAAAATGATGAATCCTATTGTAAGCCTTCTTATTTTGCAAATGGTTGTAACCAGTCATTGTTAAAAATTGTGTGAGATACAATCAAAGTATATTTGGTTTAATTTTTCGATAATTGATTTTGTTTCGGGACGAAACTTGGGATCATTATTCCAGCATGATGAATAAAGTTCCATATATTGAGGTGGTGTGCCTTCAATCGGATCGTCTCTTATTCCTTCTAAAATATGAATAATCATCAAAATTTTGGACTTCACGCTTTGGAATGGTAGTCTCCCGCTAGATATTTCCCAAAGAACTACACCAAAACTGTAAACATCTGATTTCTTGTCACGCACATATTTAGGGTTGTTGAGATGTTGAGGATCAATATATTCTAGCATACCCAGCATACCACAATTGGAGACTGAAATTTCTGAAATCTCATTTACTCTTCCAGATAATCCAAAATCACAAATTTTCGGTTGACCTTTATGAATTAAAATATTCTTAGAATGCTATAAGAGAATTAATTATCAATATTAGTGAATTAAAATTTTATAAACACGTAAGATAAAATATACATACAAGATCATTATGAATTATATTATTTTCATGTAAGTATTGAATACCAAATGCAATTTCTTTGGCGATAAGTAATTTATCCGACCATTTTAAATGTGTAACATTCGCTTTCAGGTATTCTCTTAAATTTCCATTGTCAGCATATTGTAGTACTAGATAACAATTTTCATGGTTATCTCTAGTAATCCCGTAGAATTTAATTATATTTTGATGACTGATATCTTTCATTAATTTGAGTTCGTTATCGAAAACTTCACAGTTCTTTGATTTTTTACTACATTTCAAAATACATGTTATGTCTCCATATTTATATCTCCAAATCATTGCAAAACCTCCTTCTGCTATTTTTTCAGGATTACTAAAACAGCCGTAATTAATGAAATCTTTTGACATATTTGTATCTGAATAGTCAACAATTAAGAAGGTAGTGTGAGTTAATTCGACGATAACGGGGAGCGACTTGAATCAATAGAAACTGGTTTATAACATCATGCGACAATTTACTAATTAGAAACTAATGATTGCAACAAAATTTTGTGCTCACGTGTTAATTAGCCAATAACATGAGACGCTATATCGGCACAGAAAACACATGATCTTATATGCACAGCCATGGTTAGAGAATTGAATCATATGCATACTGTTTCGGTATAACATCCCAAGTATATTATTATTGAGTTTTGCCGTGTATCATGCAAATATAAAGACTTTGCTGGTGATGCTGGACAAGATTCTAATTAACCAATTGCAATTGTTAACTGCCCTAAAGTATAAATATCTCTTTACTTACCATTTATATTATGTTCATGTACGTTCATATTGGGTCCGTATCATTTCACCGACAATCACTTCACCGACATCTTAGTTCACCGACATTTAATTCACCGACAAGTTCATTTCACCGACAATTAATTTACCGACAAGTTCCTTTTACCGACAAGTTTACACTAACCTTAACTCTAATTCTGGCCTGACCCTAACGACGATGACCAGAATTACTTTGTCTGTGAAATGAGCTGTCGGTAAAATAAACTGTCGGTAAATGAACTTGTCGGTGAATTAAATGTCGGTGAACTAAGATGTCGGTGAGTTGAGTGTCGGTGCACCGATCGACTATATACGTAAGGATCGATAACTTTAAAATAGACAACAACGATATAAAAAACCCGTTATGTTTTATAAAATTATCTTCTTTAACTGCCCAATCATAAGCTAATATCTATGACCTTGTGCTAAAACAGCATTGTAGAAGTGAAGTCTCTCCCGTTGTTACAACACTTTCTGTCACATATAGAAAATAAAACCTGTGTGTTACCTTATTGGATCATTACTGAAAAAGTAGCCAGAAGATTGAAATTACATGTGAATCACATAATCAAAGTGGTACACATAATAATTCGTGGGCATGGGGAGAAATTTCTATTGTTACCACAAAATCAAATAACAACTTTCATGGTCAATTAATTACGAAATTGTTGAAAAAAATCCCGAATCTTCGATATATGATTTGTGCAATCAACATACAAATAGTTATATGTTCTTATAAGATAATTTACTAGTACAAAACTTGCAACCTGGGATTTTGTATTCATTCTAAACTTTCGAATGGCTGTAATTATATCAAACGAGATGAAATAAAATTGTGCTATACCGTTTAAAGAGAATTAAATCAATATGAGAATCTAATTTGGACAGAAATAGATAACGTATTCTTTTTCCAATAAATTTCATTTTCCGATAAATTTATTGATGTTTTCAAAAAGATATGAAATGGGCAAGATCATCATATTACGGGAAATTCGCCAAAATTTCCAAGATTTCCAAAGTTTCAAGACTCGCTCCAATCGGTTCCTTAATTTTTACTAATTGGAATTTTCAAATTCTCTGATTCCCCATATGATAATTAAATCGGGGAATCTAATTTGGACAGAAATAGATAACGTATTCTTTTTCAAATGAATTTCATATTTCATTTTCCGATAGATTTGAAATAATAACCTGTCATTGAGAAAATTTCTTATTCATTAAATGGGAAAAACCTCGAATTATGACAATGAAGCAATCTAGATGCATAACCATTTTCATTTACGGGAAGTTATTGTGTTTGCAACCCTTGAATGTGTGCTAGGTTTGTGGCGCAGATTTACTACTACGAATTAGATTTCAAGATCAGGTGCAACGGAACACGATCAAGAAAAATTCGTTTGTCAAAAATCGCTTATTTCTCGAAATTATACATAAGAAACCACTTTTGATGCTCTATTTAAAAATTTTCGTTGGTAATTTTTACTATAAAAATTACCTTCTAACCCGTAAACCTAACCCTCACTCTAACATAAATAAACATTAAAGAATTTTTGCTGCGCTACAACCTAGCACACATTCAAGTAATGCATTGACTATTTTATGCATACAGTACTGTTGAAAAAATGAGCCACTACTGAATTTAATTTATTACTGGTGCTTGATCTTTATTCCATATAAAGTGATTGAGGTTTGAATACTTTTACCATACGTACGTACGTATGGCGTAATGCGCAGGCAGTGCAGCCTGCGCATTTAATTTAAGCACTAACCCAAAAAGTAGTGTAATAGAGCTCAAATAGCGATAATTGAATTGAGAATTAAAATTCTACAAACCGGTAAAATAGATGATTAAAGCTTTTTTTTATATTTTTTTTAGTAATATATTATATGTGAGTGCTGCGGTGTGAAAAGTAAAGAATTACCTACGTACGTACGTGCGAGCGTACTTACGTAAGTACTACGATCAGTTACGTATGCAATTACTATATTACAGTATCGTTATATTCTGAGACTTTTAATGTTACACATATATTAAAACTGGTGAGGGATTATATCCATCACAATTGATTTGTGATTGATCACAGGAAAGAGGGATTCACTCTGGATCGGGCACTGTCTCTGATGTTGCAATACTATTTAACCTAAATTAAATTTGGCTATGTCACTACGCCAAACATCATACGTATCTATAAAAGAATGCATATTTCATTCAAAGATACATAAACATTTCATTCAAAGATTCATAAACATTCCTCAAAAATGTCAGACGATCTACTAGTCTCAAATTTGTTCTCAGTGAAGGATAAAGTAGCGTTAATTACAGGTGGAGGCACTGGAATTGGTAAAATGATTGCAAAAGCATTCGTAAAGAATGGTGCAATAGTATATATCGCTTCAAGGAATAAAACAGCTGTTTCAAGGGACAAAACGAATCTTGATGACGGTATATTATTATAATTTTTTTTTTTTAAAAAAAATTCACAAAAATAAAAAAAAATCAAACTCTTTATTCATAATAATTATGCTTTTAAAAAAAAAGTTGCAAATGAATTAACAGAAATGGGACCCGGAAAATGTTTTAGTATTGAAGCGAATTTGGATTCAAAAGATGCTTGCGAAAAATTGGTGACTGATTTCAAAAATTTAGGAAATGATAAACTCGATATTCTTGTGGATAATGCTGCTACTTGGCATGAGTCGCCTTTGACAGATATTCCCGAAGATGCGTGGGATAGAATCTATAACTTAAATGTTAAATGTGTTTTCTATTTAACGATGGCGTGAGCAATTGTATATATTTTTTGTACAACACATATTGATCTAAGCTAATGTTGACGCGTTAAGAGTTTATATATACTAGTTTTTTACCATTACTCGAAAAGGCCAGTAAAAAACTGGTTGATCCATCAAGAGTTATCATAACCGGAAGCATTCTTGGTATTGTCAATCTTAAATGGTTGCATTATATTCTCTCATAATGATAGCAGTGATACATATTAACAAATTTACATAATCAGGTATCGGTGAGGGTGAGCTCAAAGTAATGCAAGCAGTTGGATTATGCTCCCTACCTTATAGTTCATCCAAATCTGCCGTACATAGCGTTTCAAAGAATTTAGCTGTGTATCTTACGTATGAATTTATTTTCTTGAAATTTTTATATTTTCATATCGAAAAATTTAAATATATTTATTGTTTATTTAGTCCACGAGGAATCAATGTCAATGTCTTGGCTCCTGGTATGACTCCCGTAAAAACTACATCAGCTGAACTTGATGATATAATGCTTAGTGATCTTCCTCAGGGTAATTAGTAAATATAAATTTTGTCCGTTAGAATTATATTACTTTTATTACTCAAAATTTACATAAAAATTTTATTTGATTTAGGCCGTGTTGGAGGTGAGTTAGACATGGCTGGAGCGGCATTATACTTAGCTTCGCGTGCTGGTAGTTGGGTATCTGGCATTGAGCTTGTAGTCGATGGTGGAACTCTTTTACAATTTAGATTAACGGATGTACAAAAAGTTTCATTGTAAAATGTACATTAACAAATGTGCAAAAAGTGCCGTTACCTTTATAAATATATATATATACATTGCACTAATCATGATTAATAAAATCAGACGCAATATGTTTAAACAATTATTTTTCTATGCTCATAAAAAAAATTGTGATTATTGTTATACTAAATTACATGTAAGGAAAAAAAATCATTTTTTAGAAAAAGAATGAAAAAAAATAAGATTAAAGATTGATACAATATTCGGTTTATTATTAGAACACATCTTTTCATCACTTTTATGACTACTTTGCTCTATTTTACGCTTCTATTCAAACCTAATATTATTTGCATTGAACTTTATTTTTGATTTCAATTAATCATGTACTATCAAATTATCAGCACCTGGCAGTTCCATATTATTGTTAACCGTTATATCTAATTATTAGTTGGAGGCGAAGCCGTCACATAATCATGTGCTAATTATGTATAAAGTTATTTTCAATTCTGTTTTCTTTTATTAAGATATATAAAACATTTACGTATGTAGGTTCTCGCTTGTGGTGGCAGCGTAGTAAAATAGTTATGCAGCCGCAAATCATTCGTTTTTGTGCTGAAGCCCTTGTGATTAATGGCATCGCAAAATTCTTACTTTTCTTTATCTCTAATATAAATTATTATAATCTTGACAGTTGATTGTTCATATTATTGCCAATCTTTTTATATAGTACTTTAGTGTTGTGTGAACATTTATTTCGGTACAAATCTATCTGCTTTAATTCCCATTGGGCTTTCTATCCCATTTGTTTTAAGGTTATAAGTCTGTACCAAAATGAATGGAAATAATATTAAAGTAGTAGTAAGATGTCGTCATCTCAATTCTAGGGGTAAGAATCATTATCATAGTTTAAACGTAAGACTTGCGCCTTCATACAATTTGTTCAATATATCAAGAATTTGGCCTGTAGTAATCTTAATTCTACGTTACTGTGAATAATAAATGAAACATTAGATGTTTGTATCTAAAAGTCTATGTGCTTTTGGTTAGAAATTGCACAGGAAGCAAAGTGCCTTATCCGGATGGAAGGCAATCAAACTATGTTATCAGTGATCCTGATAATACAAGATCTACCGTTTTAAAGTATGTCAAAGCCTTTACTTTCAGTAAATCATGTCGTGCATTAGCGGAATTATAATGATTTAATCTGACGCAGATTTTAATTTGAGGCACAACAATCATACTGGTCCTTTGATAAAAATGATCCTAATTACGCTACTCAGGAACATACGGCTTTCATTTATTATCTTCAGCGATAGGAAACGCTAGTAGAACAAAACAGCGTTGGATATTGTTATCGAAATGGAATTGGAGTTGAAAAGGATGGGCATAAAGTTTTCATTTATTATCAAAAATCTGCTGAAGTGGAACACGCCCAAGGGACATTTAATGTTGAATGTTGTTATTATTATGGCGAGATAAAGAATATTATTTATTATCAAAAATCTCCAAAGATGAGAAATGCTAGTGGAACAACCAGTGTTGGATATTGTTATCGAAATGGATTGGGAGTTAAAAAAGATGAACATAAGGAACGTGCCAAGGAGCATTTAAAGCTGGATGTTGTTAGGGCGAAGGAATTAGAGATAAAAGGGTGAATATGAACTTCTTCATCCGAATAGCCCCATCGGGTTTTTAACAGTTCTCTATTTATAAGCAATAATTATTACACAATTATTAGGCAAGCAGTGAAAAATAACCGCAGTTATGTCTCAGATGTCAACTGGTGTAACGAATTAAAATTTGATTTTCTTTATTTTTGTTCTAAACTCCTATTTAGTCGGTAACTTCGCTGCCGCATGTACATAGTGTAACGATTAATTCGGGAGAGAACTAAGTTATACCGATTTATGCTCTAATAGTTACAGAAAAGTAAGGTATCGGGAATAATTATTGAGCATGTATGATAATAAAAACATTAAGAGATAGAGGGATGTCTCAATTATAAAGTAGAGAGCGACAGGGTTAAACCGAAGTGGTTTTAGATCACGTGAGCTCGACAATAGATTTGTTGAGGGAGTCTAGATAGACCATCAGCGTTTTTATGTATTTTTCCTGCTCTATGTTGCACAGACTAATAGGTTATATTAAACGGAAAAGATTTTCGAACTTAAACAATAAAGGTCTCTTCAGCACTTCTTAGCTTACTTCATTTATTTATTATAAGACAAATTCGAAGAGAATCTTCTGCTTTAATTAAGTTTAAAAGGTTGCGTTTATATACATTTTGACCAATATCTTACACAGTAATGTGTTTCCTAGCACTTTAATGTGCTATTTAACACAACAATGTGTTAATAGTTTATAACTTTCTAAGCCCAGCACGTTATTGTGCTATCGCGAACTTTCGATACTAAAAAAAATTTACCCCTTAACACACATACGTGTTAACACGTTAGCGTGTTTTGCACTTTGTACAAAAATAGACGATCATATATTATCATTAGGGTATTTACAAGTTTCATCCGAATTTGCCTATCCTACCACAAAAATAGAAATAAAAGATAATAATACCTATAAAGAAATGTTTTATACATAAAGAGAATCGATTTCTCTATGTTACAAATTTAGAAATTTGTGATATACTCCGCCTCCTGAATTTGGGTTTCTAGTAAGTCATTTGCTGAATCGATTAAATGATCGATTTCTGAATCCCTTATAGACTGGGCTTCCTCAAAAAATCTTTGTTATACATACAAAATAAAATAGATGGACTAATGTACCGAGATGTCAGGAGATTACTTAGGCCTTGAATAGAGTATAGTTGATGAGTGCGATAAGTGATTTTCCATACTTTATAATGTTTTTGTGGACTAAAGTATTTACAGACTTCTTTTCAGGCCATTTTATTTCAAAAGTGAGCTTCTAATGTAATTCCAGGATAATAATGATATTCTAATCAAATCACTGGATCAAATGTAGAGAATATGTAATTACATAAATTTTTAACCTGGTTGGTCCAACTATCATTTTCAATGTTTTCATTTCAGTGCAAATCGTTGAGGTATAAAAATAATTTCAATCAGCCCAGAAGTTGTAGAAATCTCCAGTTCATTCTTTTCAATTTCAATTCCATATTCGATGTAATGTTGATCAATATATAGACTTCTAGATAGGTCAGCTGACTTCATTTGTTTTTGTAAAAGAATAATAGTTTTCTTAATATTTTCAAAAAGAGTAGGAAATTCTATAATGAATTAAAAGGCTACAGAACATTGTCATAGGCTTTTTTATCTAATTTTCAAATCAATTGTAACTAGTTAAGCACTTGGACAGGGATTATATAGTTTCAATCTATTTCCATAAATTGCTTTTTTAAAAACTTCATTCCTGATAATAGTTTTTAACTTATAAGTTTCATTTCCTAGAATATTATGAATGTAGTAAGGGTCACTGCATTGAACTTCAAGTTTAGTGCTTTTAGAGTATTGA